GGGGTTTCTATGGCAAAGAAGAAGAAGAGAAGACATTGGATTTATACCCCACCCTTCACTCGGAGTCTCAGAGTGGCTTACAATCTCCTTTCCCTTCCCCTCCCCATGAAAGACACCCTGTGAGGTAGGTGGGGCTGAGAGAGCTCTCTCGAGAACAGCTCTGAAAGAACTTGTGGCTGACCCAAAGGTCTGCCTGTGGAGGAGACGGGAATCTGAACTCTGATAAAACCAGGGATGAAGAGAAGAAGAAGAGATTATTGGATTTATACCCCGCCCTTCACTACCCAAAGGAGTCTCAGAGTGGCTTACAAGCTCCTTTCCCTTCCCCTCCCCACAACAGACACCCTGTGAGGTGGGTGGGGCTGAGAGAGCTCTTGACAGAAACGGCTCTTTTTCAAGAACAGCTCTTATCAGAACTACGGCTTGCCCAAGGTCATCCAGCAGCTGCAAGTGGAGGAGTGGGGAATCAAACCCGGTTCTCCCAGATTAGAGTCCGCGCACTTAACCACTACACCAAACTGGCTGAGATCCAAGTGCGGGAAAGGACCGTAGATGCTTTTGCTGTGCTAAGTGTCACACACATCTCCAGGTCCAGAAAGCTTGACAAAACAATTCCCTAGACCCAGGGCCCCCAACCTTATTGAGCCTGTGGGCACCTTTGAATTCTGACACCACATGGTGGACACCAGCCACCAAATAACTGCCACAAAACAGCTGCCGCGGGAGGCGGAGCCAGCCACAACTACATGGCTACCACAGCTGCCCTTTGGTCACACGGAGATCCTTCTACCATGGTGGCAGCCGCTGCCAACATGACAGTCTTAAAGATCGGCACAGCCAACCAAATTGCCAATGGTCAATTAACAGCCTTGCTTGGTAAAAGGCCCGGCCGTTTTCGAAAAACTTGGTGGGCGCCAGGAAAGGCACCGGCAGGCACCTCACGGGGGACCCCTGCTCCAGACCCTTATGAGCACGGTTATGCCCTCCTACTCCACCAAGCCCCTTGGTTTATTTCTACCAAGGCCCTTCGGAAGCCAAACCTTTTCCAAACCATGTGGGCACCCTCGCCGCTCCTCTCCAGCCCCTGCTTGACGGTCATCCCTTGACCCTTCCACCTTTTCTTGCTTGACTTTATCACAGCCTTGCAAACGTTGCCCGTGGCGCTCCAAGGCTCTCCTCCGGGTAAGCAGGCAAGAAAATCCTCATGAACGGGAAGAGACCCAAGATCCCTTCTGCTTTAAAGCCATTCGTAGGGCAAAACTTGGGCAGCACCAGAGACTGCCCCATTGTGCATATGTAGATGGAACAACAGTAATTGCTACAGACCACTGACGTTGGTGCCTTTGTCTGGATGGTCCGGGCTGGCCCAATCCCATCAGATTTCGAAAGCTAAGCACCCTTGGCCGTGGTTAATGCTTGATTGGGAGACCACCAAGGAAGACTGGGGCTGCTATGCAGAGGAAGGCAACGGTAAACCACCTCTGCTCATCTCTTGCCTTGAAAACCCCACTGTGACTTAGTTAAGAACATCAGAGGAGCCCTGCTGGATCAGACCAGTGAGGGTCCATCTAGTCTAGCATCCCATCTCACACAGGGGCCAACCAGTTCCACTGGCGGGCCAACAACAGGGCACAGAGGCCGAGGCCTTCCCCTGATAAGAACATAGGAAGAGCCCTGCTGGGTCAGACCAGTGAGGGTCCATCTAGTCCAGGATCCTGTCTCACACAGTGGCCAACTGGTTCCTCTGAAGGTCCAGCAATGGGGCATAGAGGCCAAGGCCCTCATAAGAACATAAGGAGAGCCCTGTAGGATCAGACCAGTGGTCCATCTAGTCCAGCATCCCATCTCACACAGGGGCCAGCCAGTTCCTCCGGAGGGCCAACAACAGGGCAGAGAGGCCGAGGCCTTCATAAGAACCTCAGAAGAGCCCTGCTGGATCAGACCAGTGAGGGTCCATCTAGTCCAGCATCCTAATGTGTGGAATTGAATGCAGATGTGAGTCTTGAGGAAAGACATCTTTCAAGAAAGAGCATTCCTCGTTGCCAAACAGAAGGCTGCTGGGCTACTACAGCCACGAGCGAACATGCGTTTAAACCCCAGAACTGGATCAGAGCCAGTGAACCAGAGGCAGCACCCCGTTAAATCCACGCCAGGTTTCAAGCAGAGAAGTCAGGAAAGAGCCCCCAGGGACAAAACTGGCGCAGACTCACCAAAGTCCTTCATGCTGTCAGGGTCCGTCTCATCCAGAAAGAAGTAGCCACACTTGACTGCCCGGTGCACCTCGAAGCACAAGCCCAGGCAGGCGTCTTCCACCAAGTCAGTATATATATCATGAGCCACAGCCTGAAAGAAAAGGAGACACCCCCCCCAAAAAAAGATGAAAAATTGGGGAAGAGGTGCGGGGGTGGAGGAGCAAGCCTGAACCGGATCAGGCCCCAGAACCTGTTTGGGTCTGAAGCAACAGAATGAAGTTTGAGCCCCGGGGCACCTTTAAAGCCAACGAAGTTTAAGAACATAAGAACATAAGAGAAGCCAGTGTTGGGACAGGCCAGTGGCCCATCCAGTCCAGCACTTTGTGCCACACAGTGGCCAGAAATACCAGGTGCCATCAGGAGGTCCATCCACCAGTGGGGCCAGGACACGAGAAGCCCTCCCACTGTTGCCCCCTCCCCCCAAGCACCAAGAATACAGAGCATCACTTGCCCCAGAATGAAAGTTCCTCTCTATACCTGGTGGCTAATAGCCACCGATGGACCTCTGCTCCGTATGCTTATCTAATTCCCTCTTGAAGTCATCCAGGCTTGTAGCTGCCACCACCTCCTGTGGCGGTGAACTCCATATTGGTTTCATTAACCAAAGACCAAAAGAAGAATTCAAAAACAAGTGGCGAGTTTTCTACGACTATTATAACCCATCTCTCTAGTTATACATCTGAAAGGTCTAATATTATATGATAATACTATAAGACAGGTTTAATGTACCCTAGAAAGGATATTACTTGTTGTTTATTATAACAAACTGCTGTGTGGAATTTTAAAAAAAAATTTCTATGAGGTTATTTATGTTACGCCATATAACAGATAAGAGGAGGGAGAGCTCAGAGCGGGTAGCGATATTCATAGAATATCTACAAAATTAAACTGTTAAACCCAGGGGTCATTTCCTGCAGGAGCGCACAGGAGCAGAGCTCCGGCAGTAACGAAAGGATATTACTTGTTTATTATAACAAACTGCTGTGTGGAATTTTGTTTTTAAATTTCTATGAGGTTATTTACGTTATGCCATATAACAGATAAGAGGAGGGAGGGCTCAGAGCGGGTAGCAATATTCATAGAATATCTACAAAATTAAACTGTTAAACCCAGGGGTCATTTCCTGCAGGAGCGCACAGGAGCAGAGCTCCGGCAGTAACAAGCCTAGGGAGCAGGCACATGCAACAAGCCCCACCCCCTGCTCCCAGCAGCCCTCAGTCAGAGCAAGAAGCAGCCAGGTAAGCTTTAAGAGCAGTTGCCCCTGGGAATTGAAGTCTTTAGTTAGACATCCCAAAGCATCTCTGTGACTGGCTGATTAACAGTCATTTCCTGCACCCAGAGGCGCGGGGATTTGAGTTTACAGCTTTCTTCCCGTTCCTTTGTGTACTCTTTTAAACGGCAAAGGAGGTCAGGGCACGCAATCTTTTTCACCATGAGCCAGTGAACTGAATTAGATTACAAAGATGTGAATTTCAGCTTTGATTGTGAGTAAAGAAATCTTCTGAATGCATGTGGAGCTTAATAAAAAATGATTTAATTCTACTTTACTCTGGCCGTGCGTTGAATCACGTCCAGAAGGCGCTGTTGACTTAGCGCCAGATGGAACAATACCTGTAAAATTGCCAGACTTTTGGTAATTATATTTCCTATGTGTTTTTTCCTATTGTCCTAATGTCCTCAATACCATATTCTTATGCCGTTTCACCATATATATCGTGTTATACATTTGTTAAGCTACTATACCATATACTTTTTAATACAGACATATACACTCTGATAAAGGAATGTCCTCAACACCTGTAAAATTGCCCTTATGCTTTTGGTAGTTATATTTCCTATATGTTTTTCCCTATTCCTTTTTTCTTTCTGTATCCCTTTTTTAAAAATTCAAAATAAAAAAATGACCATCAAATTTTAATTCTGGGTATCAGCTTTCGTGTGCATGCACATTCCGAAGAACGGAGTTAAATGCTTCCCTTCGAAGAACAAAGTTTAATTCTGAGTATAAAATCTGAAGATGTGTGCAGGCACACGAAAGCTCATACCCAGAATTAAACTTTGTTAGTCTTAAAGGTGCCGTTGGAGTCAACGTTTCCCCTGCCTCTGCTACTCTCTTTTTACAGGCTGAGCTCTGGCACTACAAGCACTCAGAGGGTGGCCCAGATAACAAGGCTGATGTGGATGGTCTCACACCCGCCTTCATTGCCAAGAACTGCTACAGGGAAAAGCTTTGAATGGAAATGAAGGGTCATTTAGACCTAACAAGACATGACAATTCTCTTCTTTTCTGACTTGTCCCAAACTAAGCTTAAGAACATAAGAGAAGCCATGTTGGATCAGGCCTACGGCCCATCCAGCCCAACACTCTGGTCCTTTCCGCACTAGACCTTAAATCCGGGTTCAACTCTGTCCCCGAACTTACATTCTACACTATACTCGAGTTCACCCCTGTAATTATCTCGGAGTAATATTTGTTTCCACATTACATGGAGGTCATCCCGGTTTCACCCCACACTTCATAGAATCATAGAATTGGAAGGGGCCTCCAGGGTCATCTAGTCCAACCCCCTGCACAACGCAGGAAATTCCCGGGTAAACGGATGCTGTTATACCCAGGGATACATGCAAGGTATTGTGTCGCGAGTTGAACTCTGATAAAACCAGGGATGAGATCCAAGTGCGGAAAGGACCTCTGTGTCACACATTGGCCAAAACCCAGGTGCTGTCGGGAGGTCCACCAGCAGGGCCAGAACCACAGAAGCCCTCCCACTGTTGCCCCCCCCCAGCACTAAGAATGCAGAGCATCCCTGCCCCAGGCATAGCTTGTGCTGCTTTCCACTGGCAGGGAGGCAAAGAACTAATTTTAGAATTTGGAAGGGGGGGGGAATGACAGACCAACAAATACACAACAACGACCAAGACACACACATCCACTGCAGTGGGAAATTACAAACTCCACTCAGAATGGTCTGTGATTCATCTTCTGTTTCTGCAACAAAGTCCCAGCCAAGCCTGAGAGAATGAGTGGCGGGGCTTGCAAAATTCCCCTCTTTGTTATGGAACTGAAACCACGAAAACAAATTGTCCTGTTTTATGCGAAAGGATGAAATCCAATGGGAAAGTTCCCCTCTCACTGAAATGAATGGGAGTGGCTTTCAACCTTCACGTCAATGGTGCCTGCAAAGGAAGGTTTCTTACAGGACTCAGCCCTCCAGTTTTATACGTCACGCCTCAAACGACTCCAGACATAATTTTTAAAAGCCACTATCATGATGTCCTTGTATAAACCAATGGTGCCCTCTCATTTGGAGTACTGTGTACAGTTCTGGTCACCACACCTCAGAAAGGATATTATAGGACTGGGAAAAGTACAGAAAAGGGCAACTAGAATGATCAAAGGGTTGGAACACTTTCCCTATGAAGAAAGGTTAAAGCGCTTGGGGCTCTTTAGCTTGGAGAAACTATGACTATGGCGGCTTCAAGAGGGAACTGGATAAACATATGGAGCAGAGGTCCATCAGTGGCTATTAGCCACAAGGTATAGACAGGAACTCTTGGTCTGGGGCAAGATGCTCTGTATTCTTGGTGCTTGGGGGGGGGGGTCAACAGTGGGGGGGCTTCTAGTGTCCTGGCCCCACTGGTGAACCTCCTGATGGCACCTGGTATTTTTGGCCACTGTGTGACAGAGTGTTGGACTGGATGGGCCTTTGGCCTGATCCAACACTGGCTCCTCCTATGTTCTTACCTCTTACAGCAGGGACCCCCAATCTTCTTGAGCCTGTGGACATCTTTGGAATTCTGACACGGCGTGGTGGGTGCAGCAACAAAATAGCTGCCATGGGGGGCAGAGCCAGCCACGAAATGGTTGCTGTGGCTTACTTTCAGTCACACAGTGAAGATTCTTGTGCTGTGGTGGCAGCTGCTGTCTAAGCAAGCTTTTTGAAATCAACCAAATCTCCAATGGCCAAACAGAAACATTTCCTGGGCAAAAGTCCCTTTTGACACACACACACCCACTTTTGAAAAAACACTTGGTAGCTACCAGCAAAAAGTGCTGGGGGGGGAGATGATGCCAGGACACCCACTGATAGCACACTGGGGACCCCTCCCTCTCTCCACTTGAGTTCAATCAAAATTCCTTAGAGCGCTAATGCAGGTACCCAAGTGTGTATCAAACTCCTGGGTTCACTTGGAAACAGGAATGACCCGGGCAGAAGCCAGGATTTGCATTCTTTCCATATATAAATGGATAACGGGCAGTAGTAATCCAAAGGGGCTGTTTCCTCTCACCCTGCGTGACCAATTTCAGAGCGGTTGGCTACAAGTGGTCCAAATGTCCACTGAAATTCTGGGTCCCCCCCCCCCGGGCCCCCCCACTTTTTTCCCCCCCCCCCCGAGTCCTCCTGAATCTTGGCACAGATCGGGCAAAATTGCTTATTAAGCAGAGAGTGCTAGATTCGGAGAGGCAAGCAGACATTTGCAGTTCACCAAATTGCTTTTCTCCAGCAAACAGTAGATATGTGTTTGCTCCTGCAGCCTATTTATGTTTCCTTGAATCTTATAATACCGGGAGGGCCTTCACCCTAGCAAGGAGCATGGCCTTGCCGTCCGCACTAATAGAGGGACGGTACAAAGGGATCCCCCCTTATGCGCTCAGGCTCTGCACTTGTTCCCAGTCTGAAATAGACTTTCTGGAGCATATCTTTTTTAATTGCTCTTTCCATACGGCGAGCCGAAAGGAAATCATTGGCCTGCTGCTGGAAAGGTTCCCAGGAAGAGCAAACAAAATTAAATTAGAATACCTGTTGTCGGATAGGAATCACCATACATCAAGACAGGTGGCCAGGTTCTGTGCCCAGGTATACAAGGAACCCAAAAAGCGAGGCAAATAGACCATATCTCTTAAACAGACTTTTTAAATGGTTTAAAAAGTTTGAACTGTGGTTTTACTTTTTCCTTTATATTTTATATAACTTACAAGCTTTTAGGTTACTAAGGTTTTTACTGGCTCATAACCAGTGTTCCCTCTAAGCTGAGTTAGTGTGAGCTAGCTCACAGTTTTTTAGCCTCCGGCTCACAGATTTTTCTCTTAGCTCAGGAAGGATG